TAAGCCATCATCCAGCATTTGACTGTTATTGACTGAAATATATACAGACCTGCATTCGACTGTTATTGACTGAAATATACTGTCCTGCTGGAAACCGGGTCCAGCATCCCAATCATCCTTTCATGCAACCGGTAGTATTTCTGCTAAGGATAGCGGGTGGGGTGGGAAAGGGTCTGCGAAGTCCTGAGCAGGTCGTAGCGGGGTGCCGGGGTCAATCGTGGTCCAGTCGTGAAAGATCAGCTGATAGTCTCTGACTATCTCGGTCCGGGGTTCTCCCTGCGATTCCCTTTCAGGTTGGCGGCCGGTCCATTTCACCTCGGCCACCCATCCCTCCCTCTCTCCACCCAGCTAGTCCTTGCTGAATGTAGAGATGATCCTGTTCATGTCCCCCCAGGAATACAACAGGTCGAGCTTGTCTTTAGCTGTCTTCCATTGGGCCGCTATCTCATGTTGGACCAATGTTCGAATTTGCTCCATGGCCTCACCGTCTTCCACCCTCGCCCCCTCTATCTCACGACAGCACCTTATCCACCATATAGTCCACAAGACACTCCGTCTACCTAGGCTGAACATGTTTTCCTCAAATGTCTTCCCCCAGAATGGAGGGTAATACCCCAAGAGAAGCGTCCTCCAGTCCCATGGCCAGACCGCACCCGGGATTATGTGACGCCAGATCCTGTCCCAGCTTCTCCATAGTAATACCGATGCGGGACATTGGAGGAATATATGTTCGATGGTCTCAGCCCGCCTCCTCCCCGGGTAGCTCAGGAGGCATTTATGGCACCATGGTAGTGCCTTCCCCTGTTGTTCCAAGCGGGTATGATCTATCAGCCAATCATTGGTGGGTAGGCACCTGTGCTCTATTTGCCACTGCAGTGCGGAGATTTTGGCGGGTCTTTTGCTCTAGTGTGCAAACCACCGGATGAGTTTCAGTAGACTGCGGTCTATATTGAGGTGGCGATACCATCTGTCTTCTACACGGTCGCGTAGTCTACATTTGGGCCTGAGCATTCGATAAGCAGATTTAGATTTTAAGTTGCATAGTGTCAGTGTTTTTGCCTCTCCCTTCCTAGTTGGGATATTCAGGGTCCATTGCCACTCATCAGGGTCCAGGGGGAGGTCCTCGATTGGAGTCATTGGGCTATACGCCCTCTGGTGGCCTCCCTCATCAATGACCCTAATGCAATAGACATCCCTCTACTCCTTCCATATGAAGGGCTGATGGTTACAACGCAGCCTATCGTCCTTTAGAATGGAGAAGACTTCAACTAGCACGTGTCTGGTCTGCGAAGTGCACATGCCCCGCCTCCCGCTCGTGGTCAGGCAACCCTACCCAGTCGCCTTCCTTTATGTCGGGACCTTTTCTAAGAGTGGCGTACCAGTGGAGGGGGAAGCTGTCAATCAGGTCAAACAGTGCCCTTTCGGTGAGGTGACAATAACGTAGTGTTGTTCGTAACCTCTCCACGCTCTTCCAATTCCTTACCTCTGCGTCCCAAAGGTCCCCAACCCTTCGTACACCGTGTTTCACCCAACCCTTCCATGGTGAATCCAACGCGCACCGCACAGACTCTTCGGAATCCATTATTAGGCGATTTCCGAATAGGGGTTGCCTGAATATTTCTTCCCACCTCTCTGGAACTGGCCGGTTCGGGGGGGGGAGCCTCCTCCATGTACGTATGAGACGCACCCAGTATCTGTCGGTAGGATCCCCGTTTTTGTACTTCCTGGGTAACCTCCAGTACCTGTCTTTCAGCCATACGCGGGGATCAATTTCAGGTGGAGATTCTGGGGCGAGGTCAGAGATTTGTGCCAGGGCAAGAGGGACCCACGAGGAGGACGGTAAGAAGATGATAAGTTGAAGCTAGCGAATCGAGAGAGCCTGAAATTGTGTGTCCGGATCCACGATTCCTAGACCATCTTTGTTCTTGGGCTGGATCACCGAGTCCCACGCAACGCGGCTTATGGCGTGGGAGATGTTACTATCGCCTCTCCACAGGAAGACCGCCAGCTGTTGTTTTAATACTTTGAGCCCCCCGCTACTCATAGTCCATAGGATGGCCTTATACCAGAGTGTGGCCAGGATCACATTGTTAATGACAAGTGCCCGCCCAAAGATGGAAGTGCGTTTATTGTTCCATTTTTCCAATTTGATTTGTGCTGGTCCGGTCAGCCACTCGTCGTTCGATGCTGACCTTCCTCTGGCAGTGATCAGTGCCCCTAGAATTCTTAGGGGGTCGTCAGGGGGGAGCCATGTGATTCTCGGGTTTTCTGGAAGTCTGCCCCCTTGGTGATGCATCCACCATCCTGTAGTCTTTTGTCCCCAATTTACCGTCATATCCGACAGGCGGCAAAATTTGTTCATGAGGTGCTGAATTTCTTTCATGTTGGTCTCAGTCGCCTCTACCATTATGGTAAGGTCATCAGCAAACAGGGAGGAAATAGGTATTGCCTCTTCCGGGATGTTCGATATCTTAATATGTGTGAGATCCTTGTTTTATCGCAGATTGACTGACAGGGCTTCCATAATTACCAAGAAGAGATAGGGGGCAATGGGGTCCCCATTGTCTCACTGACCGTTGGAGTTCAAACGGGGTTGCCATTGACCCATTGACCTGAACACAGGTTGTGGCATTATTATGGAGGATCTTGACCCAGCGCCGGAAGGTGGGTCCGAAGTTCATTCTTTCCAAACACATGTCTAGAAATTCCCAGTCCACGTGGTCAAAGGTTTTTTTTAAATCTATAAGGATAATGGTTGCGTTTGCCTGTTTTCGGCGCGCCAATGGAACCACGTCGTTAACCAGCAGGATGTTTTCTTGAATATTTCTGCCGGATATAAACCCTGTTTGGGCTGGGTGAATGACCTCCTCCAATACTGTCGTCATGCGGTCGGCCAATGCTTTGGAAAACATTTTATATACCACGGTGAGTAGCGTAATAGGTCTATAATTTCTAATTTTCATTTTGTTATTTTTTTTGCATAGGAGAGATAACAATCCTTTCCCTACAGTGTCCTGAGCATATGGCAAGTCAAAAATCTACAAGTCAAAAATCTACAACAAGAAACCATGGGCTCTGGACTGGGTTGGTGGTCTGCATAAGCCTGGGTGTGGGGCCGTCGTCTTCTTGAGCGACGACAATGGTGCGACGTGGTACTGCTGTGGGGGTGTTGAGAAATCTGAGAGCGCCAGGAATACCTACGACGAGAGGTCGTTCAGGACCTTCTTTCTTACGTTAGTTTTCGACAAGGATGACACAAATTGGGTCAAGGAAGACAAGAAGATCGGCATTGACTTGCGGCTCTTTCAAGGCTACGGTGTCAAGGCTTTCTCCATGAAAGCGTTTGACGTGCGCAGGGATGGCATCGAGCTTCGCATGCTTACTGCGGAACAGTTCCTCATTAGAACGAACGACTACCGCGTCACTGACTGCCTTCCTGTCGTCAAAAGTTCCTTGGAGCTCACCAAACCCTTAGTGAAATTCAGCAGCCCGGCGGACCAACTGTCAGGCGTTGTTAAGGAATACAGGGAAACCTTCTCGAGGCTGCCTCTGGACCAGCAAGCCGACTGCGCTTTCGTTCCCTTTGTCACGAGCTCGAGGAAATCGCGACAGACGCCATCCGCGCCGGTTGGGAAGAGGAAACAGTTGGCTGTTTATTTCCAGCTCCGCCTTTGCCAGCCGCATCGCCCTCGCCCTTGCCCACGGTGAGGGGAGGTCACGATATCGCTCAATGTTCTAGCGAGGCAACGGAGTATGATGACAGACTTCTGTACGGACGCAATGCTACGCGTGACAGTGTCCAGGAAGGTGCGACTGCCTTAACTAAGCGAAACGAGGAGGAAGAAGATGGGGGAAGCTGCGGTCCGCGTGAAGACGACGGTGATGACGAGTATATGGACATTGGGGATGAGAACATGCAGGACCAGAACATGCTTAGCGATGACGATGTAGGTGTCACGTCGGAGCATGGCCCTGGTGACATCCCCACCGATTCTGTGGGAGCGGCTGTTGGTCGGCCCTTATCGTCCCCTACGATATGGCATTCGCAAGGCGGGAGTCCGGGAGTCAAGGTGGGCATGACTCGCAGGAGCAGGGAGGATCAAAGTCGAGGAAAAGGACAAGAGAAACTTTTTCTTCTGCTTCCACTCACAAGAGACAAGCGAGGACTGACGCTGTTAACGAGGCTCGTGGAGCTCTGGTGGCATCCCAGGAGGCGAGACCTTCTCGGAAGAGCAGCCAGGGGGGAAGATCTGGCGGTCGTGGCGGCGGCCGTGGTGACGCAAGAAAAGGTAAGCAGATAGTGAGGGCAGAAGAATTGCGGGACTCGGGGGATGAGGGCGAGGGAGTGGGCCCTCGCATGCCAGACGATGGTGATGAACCGCTTCTGCAAGCTGCGCCCATCGACACGACGTGTTGTTTCTTCCTCGAGTACGACGAGCGGGGTTTTGCTAAGCAAAAAGTCCTTCCTGTTTTTGTGGACGTCATAAAAATCAAACGCATTCCCCGCGGGAATATTCTTTTCAACCACCGCTCTTTGTCTGCGAACATTGTGCGAGGCATCGACCATCAAGAGTTCCATCACCATGGAACCGGGGGCGTGGGATAGGCCTGAGCTCGTGCTTGCGCCGGTTGACCGCAACGACATCGTTGGCGGGCATGGAAGGCGGATAACACCAACCGAATTCTTCGAAAAAGACTCCTCAGAGTTCGATTGGTATGCTGTCTGTGGTCAGCATACGGTCGAGGTCATGAAGACATTGGTAAAAAAGAGCTCTCCAGCAGTTGACGTCTATGGCCTTCGCACGTACTCTAAGGTGCGGGTCGTCTATTTTGGAGATGACCAGACGCGAGGGTATTTCAATGTCTCCGCCTTCGACAACACGCGCGAAAATCGGGCCATGATGTTGTCGTTCGAGGATGCTGTCCGTGATATGAGGCAATGGTGGATCGATAACCATCGAATCGAGGCCCCGGAAGGCAAGGTCAGCGATAAGAATGCGGTCGTTGTTGCGCACCAAAAGAAGTGGCATAATTTCTTAAGGGCCTCCATGGGGAAGGCATGCGACAAGGCGTTCGTGAAGCAAGCGCTCGAGAATGAGTACAGTAAGGATTGGAGCAATAAACTCCGTGGCTAGATGAACCTCGCCACATCCACCGAGGTTGTGTGGCCACTGGTCGAGAAGTTCTTCGAGATGTTCAACGAGGGGAAGCTGCCAGTTGGCGATGGTAAAATACCGCTTGACATGCCGGGTAGGATGGAGGGGCGCCAGCCAGGCCCGTACACCGACGAGACGAAGGGGCAAAGAACATTATACCATTGCATATACGCGAGAGATGATCCCAAAGGCTTCACCGTGTCGTGGAAGGATCTCTGTCCTTCCTTCAAAAATTTTGGGGATTTGACGTGCCGCGAGAGGGAAGTTGCACTGCTCCTCCTCATGAAAGGGAAGGTGGTCGTGACGAACGTCAAGGTCATGCCTCCGAGAGTGAATACGGAGTGCCTCCTCGACATCATGCGCAAGGAACGCTACATGGTCCGTATGTTCAACTACGTTGTTTTCCGCGCCGAGGGAAGGGCGGACGATGAATGGAATGATGCCTTCTTCATGTCATACAAGGACCTCGAAGACAGGTATGGGCCGAACGGTCTGTGTGCAGCTGAATGGGAGAAGGGACGAGACAAGCTGCAGGTCAGCAAAGTGAAGACGGTCCCTCGACGACTTGGAGGGGTGGAGGAGGCAAGGCAAGGATCAGGCTTGGGCCCTACGGCGGCAATGTATAAGGAGGCTCCGTTCCACTTTAAGGCGTTTGTATACACCTCAATTGATAAGCTCGATCTGCTTCGGGCGGAGGTCAAACGGGTCGCCTCCAGCGCACGTCATATCGTGTGGGATAAACTTAAAAAACAAACAACATTGCTACCGGTGTGCATGCCATTGAAGGAAGTGGTGGCTGCGTCAGACGACATCGTCGTTGCGGCGCAAAAAATGACCTACAGGGCCGTCATCCTTGACATCTCCCCCGCCAACTTCTACACGACATGGACCTCTCAAGAGTTCGACGCTCTGCACTCTATGATGACTAAGTGTTGTGGCGTTAATTGGGTTCTTTTTGTCCTCGCACCGCAGAAGGTGCAAAGTGATGTTCTGCGTTGCTTATTTCGGTGGGAGGACATCAAACTCATCCTCGGGACCTGGAAATGGGTGGACAGGCCATCGAATGACATCACGAGGTACGACAATATCGCTACGGCGAGTCGAGACATGATGGCCATTGTCCTGCACGCGGAGGGACGGTATCTCAGAAAGGTCACGGTCGCACCCCACCTTGTCAATGACCTCACAAACGTGCATGTTGTGGAGGAGAAGTTCGAGAAGTGTCTGGGGAAACACGGTGGCATAGAGGGCGATGAAAGTGTGGTATATTCCATATGGGAGCGAGAGCCTGGCAAGTTGCGTTCGTTGTGCGGGTCATTCGTCGGGGAGGCGGAAGGTGTGCTTTTATTGGGTAGGGTGCACGCGGGTCTTGTGTGGGAATTCTTACTGGCAGGGAATAATGTCATTGCCTGTGAAGAGTCGACAAAGGACATTGCATACTTGACAAAGTTCATCGATATACTTGTCAAGGACGATAGATTCAACTGCCACGTCAAGAAACCGCGTTGCAAATATCGCCCGAACAGGGACATGTTCCACAAGTTGAGGCCTAAGAGACTGAAGGTGTGGGAGTACCTGTTCCGCGATATGCCACAAGGACAGCTTGATGGGAAATATATATACAGGAAAGCAAAGGCAACAAAGACCCTCAAACATTATCACGGTGCTCTCACTGGCGCCTTTGAGACTTTTGTTGCTCGATGCGAAATCCTCAAGTTCGATCTTCGCAAAGACCAATTGACGTCCAAGGACTACGCGGAGCTCGCGAAATCGGGCGATGGCTTTAACCCCGTCGACAACGAGGAAGATTCTTCGGACTCCGACCTCGAACTGGGCGAGGACACATGTGCTGAGGTTCTGCGCGGTGGAATGGTGCAAGCTCACGATGACGGAACTGTCCATTCGCACGAAGGGTCCATCCCGGTGGCCGCCCCAAGCGTCGCCTCAATGGTGGTCCCGTCGGAGACTGCTGCATTGCAAGACATTGGAAGATGCAGTGGCAATGAAGAAAACGACATTGAGATATCAGGCGAGGGATCTACTCGCACCAGACGATGCAATTCCTCCAGGCTACTGTGCTGACCCGAACACGATATATTTCTTGGAGGGCAAACACACCCACACAGGCGAGGATCAATGGGGCCATGACATCATATGGCATGAGGGCGTTTTACAGTCGTGCATCCAAGATGGGGAGTGAAAGATGGCGGTGAAATACACAAGCGGTTGGAAGAGTTTTCGCCGGATGTCAAAGGGCATCTGGTTGAAAACGACGGAGCTCGCGATCCTGCATCCCGTGCGCGTCGAGAATCCAGGGCAGAGCGAGACCGCCATCAAAGTCAAGGCCGAAGAATTGTTTCATGTCTTGCGCGACAATCGGCAACTGGAGTACAGCAACAAATTTTATGCCCTGCGCTCGAGTCCCTCACGCGGGTCAATCAACTGGAAGGTTGATCAAACCGCCAGAACCTTGGAGGGGAGCTGCTATCATGATTTCATGCCTTCGACCGAGCCGGCCTCTGTGGCTGCGCAAGCAGGGCACAGGGGAGATGACTGGACTACTGTTGTCGGGCCTCAAGAGGTTAACATGACGTCAATGCCGCAAATATCGGAAAAATCCATCTCGGTCGCCGCGGCACAATCGTCCCCACCCATCGATGTGTCAACGACGTTGCCGCCGGATGCAGGTGCGAGGTACGGGAGTTTATTGATAACAAATGCTGCAATGCAAGGCAGATCCGAGATCGAGTCAGAATCTGATGTTGGGCCGAGCGTGGCGGAGAGTCAGTTGCAACCGTCTTTATGCACTGGCAAAGGTGATGCACAATCACCGCTGACACCACAGGGAGGGGCCGGTGGGGATGGCGGGAAGGGAGGGGATGTGAAGGGAATACTCCATTCTCGCAACCTCGACACCTTAACCGCTGATATTGATTAAAAGGGTGAGGGTGGGTGAGGCGGGAGGGGTGCAATTGGAGGGGGAGAATCCAGTGATATGATTACAACTTCACCTCTGCCTTGTTGAACGAAATTGTGTAATTGACTTGGTTCGTTGTTTTGTTTAAAACAGAGTTCGTATTAGTCTCCATAGGCACCCCTTCCACATCGTTTTTCCATTTATGTATATATATTTTTTTCACGTCAAATTTTTAATAGACCTGAGATGTTTAGATTGACTGCCCGTCTCGACGTCCAGTAACAAATCGTGGTGGGAGC